GAGTCCAGTCTAGATCCAGAGACACCTGAGGGAGTCCAGTCTAGATCCAGAGACACCCAAGGGGAACCAGTCTAAATCCAGAGTCACCCAAGGGGGACCAGTCTAAATCCAGAGACACCCCAGTGAGTCCAGTCTAGATCCAGAGACACCCCAGTGAGTCCAGTCTAGATCCAGAGACACCAAGGGGACCAGTCTAATCCAGAGTCACCCAAGGGGGACCAGTCTAAATCCAGAGTCACCCAAGGGGGACCAGTCTAAATCCAGAGACACCCCAGGGAGTCCAGTCTAGATCCAGAGACACCCAAGGGGACCAGTCTAAATCCAGAGACACCCCAGTGAGTCCAGTCTAATCCAGAGACACCCAGGGAGTCCAGTCTAGATCCAGAGACACCCCAGGAGTCCAGTCTAATCCAGAGACACCCCAGTGAGTCCAGTCTAGATCCAGAGACACCCAAGGGAGTCCAGTCTAAATCCAGAGACACCCCAGTGAGTCCAGTCTAAATCCAGAGACACCTGAGGGAGTCCAGTCTAGATCCAGAGACACCCCAGTGAGTCCAGTCTAGATCCAGAGACACCTGAGGGAGTCCAGTCTAATCCAGAGACACCAGTGAGTCCAGTCTAATCCAGAGAAAGCCAGTGAGTCCAGTCTAGATCCAGAGACACCTGAGGGAGTCCAGTCTAGATCCAGAGACACCTGAGGGAGTCCAGTCTAGATCCAGAGACACCCCAGTGAGTCCAGTCTAGATCCAGAGACACCTGAGGGAGTCCAGTCTAGATCCAGAGACACCCCAGTGAGTCCAGTCTAGATCCAGAGAAAGCCCAGTGAGTCCAGTCTAGATCCAGAGACACCTGAGGGAGTCCAGTCTAGATCCAGAGACACCCCAGTGAGTCCAGTCTAAATACAGAGACATCTGAGGGAGTCCAGTCTAGATCTTGAGACAATTGGGTGAGTCCAGTTTAAAACCAGACAGGTAGTCCATCTTAAACCGGGAGACACCCGAGTGAGTTCAGTTTTAATCCTGATACAGCCAAGTTAGTCCAACTTAAATCCTGACACACCCAATAAGTCCAGTTTATCCCATGAAACCAGAGTGAGTCCAGTTTAAACCTCAAAGTACTTGAGTGAGTTGGGTCTATATACCCGAGACATCTGACTATATCCAATTGAAATCCAGAGACTCTCAAATGAGTCCAGTTCAAACTAAGAGACACCAGAGTGGGTCCAGTTTAAACCCTGAGTGGGTCCAGTCTAAACCCCTACGCAGTCTTATACAGTAATTGTGTGTTTCTAAGTGTGTCAGCTTTTACAGTCATCTCTTTTTTAGATTCTCTGACTCTCTTAGAAAAACAATAAATCACATTAATACACAAAGTTAAGTTTGATTACAGACTCAGTTTGATTGGTTACATCCTTTCAAACACACTGGGATCTAACTGTGTGTAGTCCAACAGTGTACTTTGTGTGGTATTTTGTGTAGATCTCGTAGTATTGTGTGAATCCGGATCAGCTGGGTGACGTGAAGAACCTCTTTCCCGGATCTGCTCGACTGAAGAGAGAAACCAAACAAACACTTGGACTACATTCATCAGGACTCCATTACCCATCATGCAACAGGGACAAAATCCAGCATGAAACAGGAAACCAACGTTTCTTTGTTATACACTGAAGGTCTAAAGATTCCTACTTCTGATTTTACATTTCTGGTGAATTACTGCACGCTTTGTCTCCATGGCAACTACAGAAACCAAAACAAGAAACTGACCAGGAAGTGGTTTCATCGACCTGAGCTCAGGTGATAAGAACAGATCAATAAATAACATCTCAGGTCATTTAAACTGGCTGTTCTGATCAGGTGATATCGACGACCACTTCCTGTTTAATCTACGGCTGCTCTAATTGGCTAATGAGATGGCGTCCCCTGACTGTTTTTATTGACTGTTAAACTGAAAATGACGGAGAGGCCTCTGACCATCTGCTGCCATTCTAAATGCTGGTCTGGACTGGAGGTGGATCTGGTCTTTGGTCTTACCTGCTGGTGGGAACATTGGAGACGTTCCTGACCCGACCTCTCAGAGATCCATAAGTGGCGTTTTTATAGTAGCTGCTCAACTCCGGAGACGTCACCGGTTTGAATAACCGGCCTGAAAACAAAAAACAAGAAGAAAAACACAGAGGGCAAAAAAATGAGGTGAATTAACCCTTTAAAGGTTGTTCAGTTACAATACAAAAATGCAACGGGAAAATATCCTTCTGCTCATTCGAGATAAACCTCCAGACTCCAAACTCACCGTGTCCACCATCCTGACTGTACGCCACTGTGGTCGAGGACGAGTTATGATCCGACAGGACACGCCTCCAGTAGGCTTCAGGGAGGGACAACAAGCGACAAATCACCTGAGACGAACACAAACAACGATGAACCAAAACCGGAAACACGTCTCTCTTTATTAATCGATAAAATACGTTTTAGAGATTTTTCTAAATTCTGGTGAAAATAAAGATGGTTTGAGAACCTTGGGCTGAGTGTTGGTGTCTCTCATGATGGTCGTCGGAGACGGCTCAGACATCCCGTGTCCCACGATGGTTGGACCAAAAACTCGGGCCAAGTTATTCTGATCCATCTGACACGGAGGACTCCTCATCACCCTGAAACACAAAGAGAACCAAGAACAGAAACTGATTCAGCTGCAGCTTTCATTTTCTAAAGTGATGACCTTTTTCATCCACAAAGAACACAAAGATGAAGAGCCAAAAGAAGACACAGAGAGACAAAACACACGACCCGCAGAACCAACAGACGATAAAAACAGGAAAACGAGACCAGATCAGACCATTCTTCAAAAGATCGTACTTGTGTAGATGAAGCATGAGGAAGGCCAGCGTGTCTCTGTTGGCCTTCGGCAGCTTGGCGAGGGCCTGATACATGACGGTGATGCTCTTCTCTTCATTAATCACCTCTTACACGCACAAACACAAACATCATTAAGAACCAATCAGAGAACATGTTTAACATCAGACTGAAGTCTTCACTTCCTCGTACCTGCAGCCTCCATGAAGGTTCTGTGCAGCCTGAAGGTGATCAGAGGTTCCTTCAGTTTCCTCAGAAAGTCCTTCAGAAGGCCACAGATCCCGTGAACGTCCGAGACCTTACAGAGCATGAGCGGAGTTTTCCCCTGTATGAACCGGTCCCTGAGCTCCTTCACCAGACGTTCCCCCCCAGGAACCCGGTACAGCCCCCTCTGCAGGAAGCAAAACATCAGGAGAACATGCTCATCATAGTATTAACAGAAAAAAAACTGCATGACTTAAAGGTCAAACATCATGTCTATAAACCCCTCTATTTCAGCCCTGCTCAGAACAGGCTGTTTCTGTGTCTGTACCTTTAAATATGTAAATGAGCTGTGTCTGACCACGACCCCTCTCTGGAAGGGCTTGGGTGTACTCTGTGCTTTCTCGCTCCATGTCCTATTGTTTACGGTGAGAAGGCAGACTCAGAGGGCAGAACAAACACCTAGCTGTGGGAGTGTCACCCACTTAGGGGAGGGGCTACGGCCTGTTTGAGCACACATTTTAGCCTCTCAAGAGGGGGCACCGATCAGTGTTAAGGTAAGTCTCGATCCGGAGTGTGATCAGACAAGTTTGAAGCAGGAAGAGCTCACCTCTTCCAGCCCCCTCCTCTCGATCTCGGCCACACACTCCACCACCAGCTGAGGAACTCGGGGATGATTGAGGGGAGCGAAACCCTCCAACGTGTTCTGCATAGGAAAGATCAGTTGAAATAATCACTTATTTACTTTATGAAAGGATAAGAGCTCAGTGAAGACATTTATCATCATATATTCCCCCATTCCCTACTGATAAGTTACATCACCTACCCTATGACCCTTAGTCACCATGGCAACCAAAACAGCAGCAACTATTCTGACTCTGAAACATGAATATCTGATCATATTGCTCACGTACCTGTTGAGCTGTACTCCTAGTCGTAGCAGCGTCAAAACAACCGTCGCTAAATTTGTGTTTGCACTCTGGATGAGAGACCACGCGGCAGTTTCGACACTTCACCGCCATCTTCCCAAAGCGGATCCTCTTTCCACATGGCGTGCAGGTCTCAGGCCGGATCACCTGCAGAGAGGAACGTTGTTACACTGACAGAATGCCTTCAAGTAACACAAACCCGGGGCTGGGGTTCCACAGAGTTCTGTTCTGGAGCCATTTTCATTTTAAGTACAAACAACAGTGTCCAGTGGTTCCCCGCCCTCTGACTGTCAACAAATACAAAAACTATGAGGGGGAGGCAACAGCACTGTGTGTTTTTTTGGGACATTGCAGTAGCACCCAGAGCAGGGCTCCAAAACAAATCGAACCAAACTAAAATCCTACATATTGTTGCTTAAAGTGGTAATAATCATAAAAAAGAGACCTGTCCTTAGACCTACCCTGCCCCTCCTCTCTTATGTGAAGCTTTATTATCTGATGATTCCAAACGTTCTTATCAGGTCCGAGTGTTTTTACCGTTTTAGACAGGAAGACGTGTTTGGAGGTTTTCTCAGATCTGAAGATGTACGATGATCTGTCGTCTGAGTGGGCTTCACTTTCAGGTTCGACCGTCGTCTCATCGGGAAACCACACAGACGTTTGGTCTGAGAAACACAAAGAGAGCGAGCTGACTTAGATAAATCTGAGTGCATGTTCTGATCCTAAAAGAAATGGAAGAAAAAGAGCAAAACACCCAGGGTTTGATAAAGGTAAGGGTTAAATGATGATTAAGTATAAAAATGTCACCTCCAACTCCTCCTGGAGAAAGTGCACACTCCTGGTTGACGGTCTGGGTCGGGTTCTCCGGTGTCTCCTGTGTGATTCCCTGCACCATGTGGATCTGATCCCTGGTCTCTGGAGAGGTCACAGCCGCTTTCACTATCGTCTCCACCTCCTGAGGGTTAAGTTAAAGTTAACTCACTATCGTCTCCATTAAGACACCGTTTGACTCATAAAAACAAAGGGTTAAACTCTCCCAGAACTGCGCTGCAGAGCAAACTGCGTCTCTGTGTTCTGGTGCTGGTTGCACAGATTTCCATGAGCCATTGTTCAGTCATTTGGGTAAAACCTATGCTAGCTTACAGCCATGCACAGCTGGAGCGAAATTTAGCGCCTGCTGAGAGTTGGCGGTAACTGCGCCGCAGTATTTATACAAGATGTCACACTCAGGAAAAAATGCCAGATGCACATGGGCCTAAGAACCAATAAGAGACTTTTAAGAGTCTGCTGTTTATGGTTATCATAGATTAGATCATTAACGTACAGTATGTTCTCTCAGTGTGATTCCAACAGAAGCAAAGATGAAGATCTGTTCACCTTCTCCACAGTTTTTCTCTCCAGCAGCTCAGAAGAAATGTTCCCACCTCGCCCTCGCTTCCCGACCGGACAGCCGAGAAGAGGACCAATCGACGAGCGCTGCAGAGAAACACAACGACAAAAAAACATATTAAACTGACATCAGAAAACAATGTGACAACACCTCCCGACGTCAAAGAACAACAAAACCTCTGAAGAGATGGACAGGTTAAGGTGAGGCTGTGACTCACTCTTCTCTCTCTGGCTCGAGATCTCAGAGGTTTAATCACTGTTGTATCCAGATCCTGAAAAGAAAAAAATTAAAATCAGGACGATTAAAAACAGGGTAGGGTTAGGCTAACCTAGGCTAAAAAAAAATCCTGTGTGTTCTAATAAAACGTCTGTAATGTGTTGTTGAAACCGTACCACGTCGTCGTCTGTGCGGTCGTAGCTGATGTCAGAGTGAGACAGGAAGGACGACTCATCGATCACCGACAACCTGAGAGAACGGAATAATTATAATTATATTAGCTTGAATTTATGTTACGCCTTTCAAGGACCCCCAAGGATGCTTGACATCAGAACACTCAAACACATGGACCCAAGTCCATAAGCAGAGTTTAACAGGAGGGTGTCTTAGGATGCAGCATTGAGCTCAGGGGTAAAAATCATACCAGGATGAAATAAAAAGTCTTAAAATGTGATCCCCGTCTTTAATAACCCGTCGCTGCCTGTTTGAGCCGGCTCACCGTTTGCTGCTGCGGTGCAGCGTCGTGTTGCCTCCTTTGTGTTCAAATGTGGCGAGCAGCGATTTCTGTTCGTCGTTCAGCACGGCGCTTGATTTGCTGTCGTGGACGAGGATGTCGCACATGAGCTGCATCTGCCTCTGCTGGAAACACAAGAAGAAGAAGAAGAAGACGAGAGGGTGATGAGATGCCAAGAGTTTGATTATTTAAGCATCCTTCTCTCCTTTCCTATCTCCAAGTCCCCTTCTGCATTGGCTGCTCTCCTTCTGGCCTCCTTTCCTTTCCTTTCCTTTCTTTTTGTCCTCGTCTCTACTGTATTGTGTGTATTTCCTGTGCACTGACCAGGTACTGGTAGTCTCCCTCAATCTTGAAGCGTTTCTTCATCTCCACGTCGAGCTGGTTTCTGGCGTGCTTCAGTTTCACCTCCAGAGCAGCTTTGGCCACGTCCGACTTCACCAGCAGCTCTTTGTACTTCTTCATCTCCAGGTCAGCATGAAACCAGCGTTTCCTCACCGTCTCAAAGTTCTTCAGCACCTCCACCATCTCTGAGGAGAGAAAAATAATCATCCTCCACCATCTTTAAAAAGAGACAGGTGGGTGTCATGTTTAGTTTGGTCAGTGTGTTGATTTGGTTGGTGGGTGTACTGTTTAGTTTGGTCAGTGTGTTGATTTGGTTGGTGGGTGTAGTGTTTAGTTTGGTCAGTGTGTTGATTTGGTTGGTGGGTGTACTGTTTAGTTTGGTCAGTGTGTTGATTTGGTTGGTGGGTGTACTGTTTAGTTTGGTCAGTGTGTTGATTTGGTTGGTGGGTGTACTGTTTAGTTTGGTCAGTGTGTTGATTTGGTTGGTGGGTGTACTGTTTAGTTTGGTCAGTGTGTTGATTTGGTTGGTGGGTGTACTGTTTAGTTTGGTCAGTGTGTTGATTTGGTTGGTGGGTGTAGTGTTTCGATTGGTCACCATCATTTTTGGTTGCTCAGTGTAGTGTTCTGATTGGTCGTTGTGTTATTTCTCACCTCTCTCCATGTAGATCGAGTTCTCCTCCATGTTGATCCTCTGGAGACAAAGAGCGAGGAGCTCCTCCACGATGAGCCGAGACTCCCCCCCGCTGAGCCAGGACTCCCCCATCACTGTCTGCCCAGCCACCTTTTCACACGGCAACTTTAAAACACAACACGTACATTTGGACAGTCAGACTTCAAATTTTGACTGTCAGACTCTTATTTTGACAGTCAGACTCTTATTTTGACAGCCAGAATTTTATTTCAAGATTCAGATTATGTCAAATGTTTATTTTTGTCAGGTAACATAATAGATGTTTGATTACTGAGATGTTGATCCACAAATACCTAAAATAATATCTGAATATTATTATTACATTTTTTTAGAACAAAATTCACATAAACACTTAAAATCAAATGAATGTTCAAACGTCAAACTCATGAATGGAGTCACGTGATGCAGACTTTAAATCAAAGACGATTAAAGACTTTTTTTATCACGTTGATCAGCTGAGTTTGAGCTGTGCGGGTTTAATCTGCGCGTTTTAATCACAGGGGATTAATCTGCGGGTCTCTGATAGATTAAAAAGTTTCACACAGATTCAGGCGGAGATCCACAGCGGGCTCATCACGTCTCCGGTCCGGTTTCGGTCGGATCCGGATCCCCCTCGTGTCTCAAACAGTTCCACACACCGTGACGCACGTGCACAGAGTATAGCCTCAGATAAAGCAGCCACACACACACACACACACACACACACACACAGAATAACTGAGAGAAGGATGAATTAATGAGAAAACGATTACACTAATGATAAATAAAGATGACATTAATAATCAAACCCAATAAACAGGAAGATAAATAAACTCACGGCAGGTCGACCTGAAGCTCCTCAGCAGCTGGTGAGCCTGTCTGTCACTCTTCTGCTTCTTGATGGGATTTAGAGGCGGTTCTTCTTTCTGTCACTCCAGACTTCACCTGCTCTTTCTGATGACGTCATCAGTGCACCAGGTGAATCACGTGGGTATTAAAAAATTAGACTAATGGTGTTTTATATTTTTGGAAAACGATTAACATGTTTACAGTAATAGTTTATTCATATATTCATTAGTATAATTTATCAATTTAGATTCAGTTTGTGTTTTTTTATTTCTGACACAAGAAGTTTGAAGGAACTCACTAAAGCACCTTGATGAGGTCTGGGCTGCGCGCACTGAAAGCTTGATGATGTCCTCGTATCATTGCACGATGTAGAAACTTCACATCAAATAATCAGCTTTCTATTGAATTCCTGTTTTGCATTTTATCATGCAATATCTGAAAAAGGATACTCTGTAGCAGATTGCTATTCGTACATTAGTGAGTATAATTTCTTAATATTTCTCAATGTGATCGGTGCTGAATCACAATCTCACCTAGGGCACCAAAACGTCTAAAGTCGGCCTCTGTAAGCAGCTGTAACCTTCTGTATGTTGTCATCAAAGTCCTATTGTCCCTAAGGCATCCTTGTAGTTTACATAACTGATTGATTTCATCCGGCTTTGTTGATACATATAGTTGAGTATCGTCCGCATAACAATAAAAAATTAAGGAGTGTTTCCTCATGATATTACCCAGAGGAAGCATATAAGCTGAAAAGAATCGGTCCAAGCACTGAACCTTGTGGAACTCCATGGCTAACTTTGGTGTATCATTATGGATGCACTGAAAACATGATCTCAGGGAACTTAACAGATCGAAACTTTGGGGTAAAAGGAAGTTCAGATAGAATAGGTCTATTGTTAGCTTAGGAGCCTGAATCTAAAGTTAAAGCTACCTTAAATGACTGCAGTACTTAAATACTGATTTAGATAAAAGGCTACCGTGTGAACCCGGTGAATACTTTTTAAAGACTACAAATACCAGCAGATATGATGAAGTCAATGTTAACATGCTAACAAGCTAAAAAGACACAGAAAACTATGTAAGCTTTACACCTGCTCTGCATCAGCAGAGGTCCCTGTTAGCATGTAGAGCTAGCGGCATGGTGCAACTCTTCATGTGGTTTAAATGGTGATTGTGTAAAGTTTCTCTGTTTGAAGGAAAGGAGTCACATGCTACAGTGATGTTAAATAAACAGACTTCGGTTGTGTTTTAAACACAGTTTATTCATGCAACTTTCATCACAAGTTTTACATTCACTACAGGAACAACAACAACAGATGCACTGTTGCCACGATAACCTCTCTTCCTACACACTCTGCCAAGTCAGCAAAGTATTACTAGGTATAAAAAAAAAAGTGGCTGTCCTCCATGTTGGCTCCAGTGCATCTGTAAGGACGGAAACACACAGACTGCTACAAAACAGCTCAGCCTGCAGGAAGACAGCCGCCATCTTTGATTCTGCTCCCGTTAATCTGTACTACAGTGTTTAAAGCCTCTGGAAACTTGACTTTAGATATTAAAAATCCATATTTGATATCAAAATTGAATCATTAAGCATCTACAAAAATCAGAGTGGAAAAAAACATTCAAAAAGATTACAAAACCTGGGCAAGAACAGCTTATATTGCTGGTTTTAGATCATTTCTACGGGCTGTGTGGGCGTGGAAGCTCTAGCCAAAACTATCATCTTTCAATGGGCACACATGGGGAGGCAGGACACTGCTGCAAGACGAAGCTGTTTAAAGCCCCAGAACTTTCTGGGCACAATTGGTTAACCAGTCTTGGGGGAATGAGCGCCACGACTCACCCAAACCCGACCCACTGTTTCTCCAAAAAGAGAGAGAGACCAAAATCATGTAAATAAATTTGAAAATAACATGGTGAACAGCATATTGTGGAGTTGGGTTTCCAGAGGCTTTGATAATGACACCATGTTGGATTATAATCTGTATTAATCTGTACTACAGTGTTTATTAAGGACACCATTTTGGACATTCACCTTGTATTTATTTGTTGTCATGGCAGCAACGATCCTACAGCTGTTAAATGCTGCTAAATGCTAAGCTAACTAGCTGCAGAAATTGCACTTCTACTTACTGCACAGACGCTATTTATTCTGAATTATCCCTGTAAGGGCATAACAAATCTAGTCCTATGCCACATCTCTTTCTAAACAAGACCCTTTGACACAAACATGTCTGCATGAGGTCCCGCAGACTGAACTGTATGTTAGCACTATGCTAACTGTGGCTAATACTGCCAGGATACAAAAACTGTAAAAAAAAATACAAAATGATATGAAGAATAAAATTCACTGTTAAAAATCCCTTCAAAGATCATCCCAGAACAGGAAGGGGAGGGGTTAGCTCTGACATCACACCGATGGGGAGGGACCAGCTCTGACATCACACAGAGGGTTGGAAGATGCCTTTGGATGTATTAAAAGATGGGATACTGAACTTTATCCAGATCTGTTCATCCTAGTGGCCAATCAGGGTACTACAACTAACCCTGACCTCAAGATCCATCAAACAAAGCTCCAACATTTAGACCTCCATCGTAGAGACTTCCAATATACAGACCCCCATCATACAGACCTCCAACATTAAGACCTCCACCAATCAGACCCCCATCATACAGACCTCCGTCATTCAGATCTCATCATACAGATCTCCATAATAAAGACCTCTGCAGGGTTGATCCACACAGACTGCCAAAACAAGGAATCTGGGTTTATTGGTTATCAGTAAGGTCAGAACATTTAATTTTTAATTAATTGGAAAAGTTGAAAAAAACAGTTTTGAAGTCCAGTATCTGTATCTCATGATACATCCATCATGGCAGGGCTTTATTTATTTGTTTCTTTCTTTATTAGTCAGTTACTTTTAGGAATTTGTCAGGGGCAGAGTCAACTTGTTGACTTCCTGTGAAGGGCATTTTTTTGAAGGGATGGCTACTTGCAGGCTTCCACTGGATTTATTAGCACCATTTACATTACCTAAATGATTTGAGGTCCACTAAAGACCTGATCTTCCATTGAATTCTGGACTGCATTTTTAGTTTTTTTATCCATCAGTAAAACTCACATTATCAGTAAAACTCACATTATCAGTAAAACTCACATTATCAGTAAAACTCACATTATCAGTAAAATTCACATTATCAGTAACTCAAAAAGTCAAAGATACTGAGTTGGTCCTGAATAGATCTGTAGTCCAGCTCAGTCAGTCCAGACTAAACCAGGCCAACACTGATCAGGACTTAACATGTTACTCTACCAATGATCCAGAACAAGATTGAATTATATTATTAGTAGAAGTAATATTATTATGGTGTCACACTGATACATAAGAAATGTGGTTTAGACTAAGAGGATGTTGAGTCTTGATTAAAGACCTCGAATGAGATATAAAACATGTTGTGGTTATGAGAGAAAGACTTTCATGAGTTCAGGTTGAGATGAATTTAATTTACAACAAGCAAAATGAGTTTATGGACAAAATGGAAGAAGTACACAAGAAGTATTTATGCTAAGCTACTGCTACCATAGCAGTATAAAGTAGTTAACTACTAGTACTACTACTGCGTTCACGAGAAAGTTCATGTAGACAAAGAGAGTTTGACAAGTTTTAGGACAGATGAGATGAAATGATGTCAAGTGCTCGAGTATTTCAAATGACTAGACTCAAGAATCAAACCAATAACAGTCAGTACAAGTGGAAACCATGCTGTACCGATTAAGTATTAGTTGTTGGAGCTTTGTTCTACCTCACCCGAAGGACATTCAGGGTAGGGTTCAGAAGTAGTTTTGTAACTGTTTAGAAGTCGTTACATTTAGTATCTGAATTGTTGTGGTACTATTATAAGAACGTTTCGTATGTTGTTGAGTTGTTTAAGTTGTATCATCTGCGTTAATTTGAGTAAAAGTTGTTAAGTGGTTTGGCTGTTGGGTTGGGTTAAGTAGCATTACCACCTTTTTTACTTTAAGTTGGAGTTATAGAATTGGTTAGGTGGTTGGGTTTGGGTTAAGCAGTATAACCACCATCTTTACTTTTAGTTGGAGTGGTAGAATGGTTTGGTTGATGTTGCATAATTGTTTTGGTTGTTGGGTTGTGGGTTTTGGGTTTAGTAGTATTACCACCTGTACTTTTAGGTCGAGTCGTAAAATTGGTTTGGTTGTTAGGTTCAGTTGGGTTTAGTAGTATTACCAACTTCTTTACTTTTAGGTTGAGTCGTATAATTGTTTTGTTTGTTGTTGGGTTGGGTTTAGTAGTATAACCACCTTCTTTACTTTTAGGTCAAGTCTTATAATTGGTTTGGTTGTTGGGTTAGGTTGGGTTTAGTAGTGTTACAACCTTTACTTTTAGTTGGAGTGATAGAATGGTTTGGTTGTTGTTGTATAATTGTTTTGTTTGTTGGTTTGGTTGTTGTTGGGTTGGGTTTAGTAGTATTACCACCATCTTTACTTTTAGGTCGAGTCGTATAATTGGTTTGGTTGTTGTTGTATAATTGTTTTGTTTGTTGGTCTTGGTTGTTGTTAGGTTGGGTTTGGTTGTTGGGTTTAGTAGTATTTACGACGTTTGTTGAAGGAAGAAGTACTGGATGTAGAGTACCTGTTGCAGTTATGTGGTAAAAAAGTACTAGAGGGGGGTGGTAAACTAGTTGTAGTTTTAACTTTACAGCCATTTAAATAAGGTGGTGTTGATGTGCTTAAACCTCTACCTTCCTTCATTAAACAGGCTTCAACCATTCTGTTTTAATTAGTCAGTTGTTGGAGTTGTTTCTATGGCAATCAAATTAGGGGGCGGAGCTTCATAAGGAGCCCTAAGGAAGAGCTTTATTTGTTTGTTCCAGAATTAACTTTCAATGGTACTTGATGGCAGTAGATGTAGAACGGAACAAACTGGTAACGTATTCTACTCTAGTATATTGTATTGTCTAAATCGTTCAGGGTTGTTTAGTTGTGTAGGGTTCACTTCTTTTTGGTGTATCATTAGTTAAGTTTGACAGTTTACTTGTAGATGTCCAGAAAGGATTTGTGAGATCTCTCTATGTTTTTGTCTTTGTTTGTAGGAGAACAGTACTGTTATGTAGGGTGTTGTACAGGGGCTAATCCATTATCTTGGATTTAGTTCTAGTAGCACTTTCATAGGTTTCACTAGTAGCAGTAGGATAGTGTAAGTGTAAGTACAAGTTTAAGTTCTTGTTATTTAAAATTCGTATGGTTTAAAGGTTTCTGTTCATATTAATTTATTTAATGCTACTGAAGAATTCAGTACAACGAGTTACTGTTTTGACATTTCTGCCAAACTGTTTCATATTTAGGGTGGAGAACTAGCTGTATACTCTTCAGATTTGTGTTGTTTAATACCAGCGGCAGCGTTGTTGTTGGGTCCATATAATAAAATTATACCGTAATACAGTTTAGCACCACTGGTAAGGTAGTTGTAGGATTCAAAACTAGATTAATTCATTAATTTATATGGTTAGGTACTAGTGGTACAGTTCCAGAGTTTGAACGGATTTAGCCATTAAGTAGGGGTTAAAGTCGAACTGTTAGATTTATAGTATAAAGTTTTATAAGTGCTGGGGTTTAACAAGGTTGAGTACCAGTTGAAGTGCTTAGTTTTGAGAGTTTAGTACAAGGTACAGACCTCCATTTTAAGAATTTTGTTCGTCGTTGTCAAACAGAAAATAACAGTTTAACTCTTCTTGTTCTAAGATAAGGAGGTAATGTTAGATTTCCCTCCGGGGGGCGCCACAATCCTCTGAGTGGAGCGACGAGGTATATGGTCGTCAACCTGAGCTCCTGGAAGGCAGAAGAAGAAGAAGAAGAGGAGGAACAGAAGACGGAGGAGAAGGAAAGGATAGGGAAGAAAATAATAAGAAGAAGGAGATCCTGATTAAGACCCTGAATACATCTAAGACTCGATTGGTGCACATGTCACACACTTGGGAACTCTACCTGACAGTGTGAATCCTGATCGATGGAGGTTTCGGGGTGCGATCAGAGATTTGGGACAGGAGGGGCCCCGGGTGGTCGGAGTGGGGGGTACTGAGTTAGTCATACCGATGACATCATGGACTGGACCATCATAGTTTCCTCGAGGAACGCCGCGAGCTTCAGCCATCTGAGGTAAGGAGAGAATGCTGAAACTACAAAAACAAACTCCTGACGGATAATAAAGCCTCATTGGACTTTTAGAAAGTTACTAGTTAAACAGGAAGTCAAATACTAAACCACTTAGTCAGGACGTCCACTAGTTGGTTAGGAAGTTAACCAGTAGGTCCGGAGGTTAACCAATAGACCAGTAGGGTTAACCAATCGGTCAGGAGGTTGACAAGCAGAACAGGAAGTTAATCAGTAAGTCAGGGGTTTTCTGGTTAACCAGTTGGTAAGGACCAACATGGTAACCTTGTGGTTAGTTACCTTGCTGCGTGCTCGGATCCTCTTGTAGACGGTGTCAGGGAACGACTTCCTGGCGACGAAGCGTCCCGTTCCCTCGTTCGCATTGAGTTTCCCGTCCTCGAAAACGACGCGACCACCGCAGATCACCACCGTCGCAACGCCGCGGAACTCCAAACCCTCAAAGATGTTTACCTCCACAGTCTGCACACAGACAGGTGTGTGGAGATGAGGAGGAGGAGGAGCAGTTTATGATGAAGGATGGTGAATTATTGATGATGGAGATCGGCGAGTCGTTACCAGATTGTGAGTTTCTGCAGAAACAGTTCTTGTTTCCTTTGGGTTCCAGACTACGATGTCTGCGTCCGAACCGACAGCGATCCGTCCTGAACAACATATGATGAGGAAGTTAATGTGTTACTGGAGAGTAAAACAACAACTTAGAGCCTGATTCACAAAAGGATTGCGCGGCTGAAGCGCCCGCTAAATGAGTCAAAGACATCGCCTAATTCACAGAATACATACAAAGGGTTAAATGCTCCCCCTTTTAGCTATTAGCGGCCGCAATCCATTCTTAGTGAATCAGGCTCTGAGTGAAACAGAAAAGTATAATCGGTTTTGTTTTATTCTCATATAAGTCAATGAAGTTCAGTAATAGCTCCTTTCCTCAGTTTTACTCTGGGGTCTTAGGTGATACCTTTGCGCGGGTAAATGTTGAAGAGTTTAGCAGCGTTGGTACTTGTCACTGCGACAAACTCATTCTCATCCATCTTCCCTGTAGACTGCAAAAAGAGAAAAAACATGTAGGAGTATGTGAGCTGACATCAGTTTTCGTCTTCTTTTATGTGAACATCTGTGATTATCTTTCTGTTATCCACATTTACACGTGTTCAGATCTTACCACGGCTCTGTCCCAGACCACAGACATCCTCTCCTCAATGCCATTCGTTCCCTCTGGGATCAGAGTAAAATCGTCTTTACCGACAGCTTTCTGAGCCGTGGAGAAGCTCGCCTGAGCGCTGGACGTCACCTGGAGGTCTCCACTGGAGAAAAGCAAAACAAGCACTCGTCAGGTTCACCCAGAACACCTGGACTTTTCAGGTAAAAGGTGACGCTACATCTTGTACATCAAGCTAACAGGAAAGCAAAGGCTAAAATTCATTCTAAACATCTAACCGAGGGGTGGAGTCATGCTAACCATGCTAACATACTAACAGAGGGGTGGATTCATGCTAACCATGCTAACATACTAACAGAGGGGTGGATTCATGCTAACCATGCTAACATACTAACAGAGGGGTGGAGTCATGCTAACCATGCTAACAGTGGTGGAGTCATGCTAACATACTAACAGAGGAGTGGAGTCACACTAACCATGCTAACAGAATTTCAGTCATACTAACCACGCTTACAGAGAGGGAGTCATGCTAACCATGCTAACATGGCTAGAGTCATACTAACTATGCTAGCAGAGGTGGAGTCTACTAACCATGCTAACAGGGAGATCAGGTACTGTGGAGTTGAAGGGTCGGGGTTCAGAGGCGGGCTCATCACGAAAGCAGCAGCCGTTGCCCAATCTTTGGACCAATAATGAGAGCCGTCAGTGGCGAGGCTGGCTGTGATTGGCTCCCCATACACCACAATACCTGAAGGAAAAAAACAGGAGGATGTTTAAAACATATGGCTGGAAGTTTTCCATTTTTTGCAGTGGACTTTTTGGATCCCATTAGACCATGTGGACTTTGTTTTCAGGGTCAAAATTGAAACAGGAAGTGGGCTTCTTGTGGGTTTACCTCCCTGATGTGGACTGTAGTGGTGCTTTCTTGTCAAGACTTAAAGGGGGTTTAGACTTGTTCCAGGTACCCGAACACCTGAGGTCAAAGGTTGATGATGAACTTTTGTTGGTATGTCTCAAAGCAGACAGATAACAAAAGGACTCCAGCTTCGGCTGTTCCCAAAGAAAAAGTCTGAGAGAGAAGAATGCTGAGTTCCTGTTGGCCTGGACCAAAAGGTGCACCTGTAGCGGACTCCTCAGTACGCCGCACCCAGTGTGTGGGCGGGGAAATCCCGGAGAGAGTGGCACCTGGATTCTCCACAGTCCTTCGGGGAGGGGGAGGGCTGTCTGTAACAACACTGTCTGGAACTCACACATTCAGACAGACTCAGCTTCAAACTTCAATCGCTGAAGCAGCTTCTCAGAATTAAGTTATGTAATGCAGCGGTCCAGAACCAGCTGAGGTCGTGACAGTGAAGGAGGCCGTCGAGCTGGATCAGGAGGTCAGAGGGACTCGACAGTCGAGCTGGATCAGGAGGTCAGAGGGACTCGACAGTCGAGCTGGATCCGGAGGTCAGAGGGACTCGACAGTCGAGTTGGATCAGGAGGTCAGAGGGACTCGACAGTCGAGCTGGATCAGGAGGTCAGAGGGACTCGACAGTCGAGCTGGATCAGGAGGTCAGAGGGACCGTAGATTGTACGCAGTGAAGCAAAGTCAACACATATTGTATTTTGTTTTGAGAAATGACGATGACGTCACCTTTCTTCCTGGCTTTGGCGATGACATCAGCAGCAGATTTGCTCATCACCTTGGTAACGTACAGTGGACAGTTGGCCTGTTTGGCAATCGTTATGGCCCGATAGACCGCCTCTGTCTCCACCTGAAGCACACGTGATGACACAGGTGTCAAGAGGTAGTTTACAGATTTCATAGATGAGTACTGGAGACATTTTAAAGGTGTGTGGTTACCTCCTCGGGGTGAGATAAGACGTGTCCTTCAGGTCCCGTGATGCCAAGGCAAAGAAGCTTCTTCTGTTCCTGAAAAAAAACAAAAAAACAGTTTGAACCAGATTAAATTTAAGAGAAGGAACAAAGAATTCACTTGATGTACACTTGCTGCTTTCATTCATTTTTACTGTTGTGGTTAGGAGGAGGCGGGGCCTTTCTTCATGACTTATATGAGAGTGATGCTAGAGTGTGGTCCAGGATCTACAAATTCATTTCTCCAAAGCTGATATGATAATTAGCCAAAGTGTCATAGCCATAACCATATAAGGTAGACTGACCCTGAGTTACCTAAATGTGGAACAATGGTATATTCTCCTGTAGAAGACACAGGTTCATTTGTATGATATCAACAAATGAGCCACAGCCGCCTGCCAACAACTCGGCAGCCACCTGACATGCAAAAGCGGTTTTACATAACAGATGGATATCATTTGCACCAGAAAAGTTGGACGGTCACTGATCAGCTCTGTTGTTGAGCAGGATATATTACCTCATCGATGATGTCACCGTTCTCAGCATGGACCTGTGCGATGGCTCCAAGATCCCGAAGGATGCCAAACGCCTCGTAGAGCTGGACGGCAGAAATACAGGAAGCAGATTAAAACTCTGATGTATACTAACCTTTAGCTCAACAACATGTAAACAACAAACAAGAAATAATCAAGTAAAGTCAGTTTTGATTGATAAGTCGTAGACACAGTTTTATATTCTGTATGAATCAATCGTCCATTGTTCAAGCGTTCTGTGCGGTTCTGTGGTTTACCTGAGAGTCGGAGCTCTGGTATTTGTCTTTGTAGGCCATGAAGAACAGGAAGGAGTTCACACCTGAAACACAAATACTATAGATAACACAGAGCGCCATACCTCAAGAGAAGCTAGCGTTAAATTTGGAAGATTTTACAGCTTTTTATAACCCTCAGGCATCAGTTTAATTTACTACCCTCTTAAGTCACTAAGGACAAAAATGTCCATGCCAAAAAACTGCTATAAAAATAGAACAGATTGATATTTTATTCTACTTTTTTCTGCATAAATCTCTTAAACAACTTCAGCCCTGCTCAAAACAACCAAAAATTCAATAATGTTTTGGGAATTTAACCCTTAAAATGCCAGTTTGATTACTTGATTCTGGCATTTAAAGGGTTAAATTCCTGATAATTAATAAATGTTTGATAGTTTTGAGCAGGGCTGGAGTTGTTTAAGAGATTTATGCAAAAAAAAGTAGAAAAAAATATCAATCTGTTCTATTTATAAAGCAGTTTTTTGTAAATTGGACATTTCCGCCCTCCAATGTCCAAACAGGGAACTACATTTTAAATCTGATGCTACACAAAAACTAACAATGCATCAAAGTCAATATTTTGGATAATCTTTGACATATCCAAGACTGATTTAAAAAAAATCCCCCAGCCACCAAATATTTGTTAAATGGAAAATAACTAATTTTTGAATTCCTAAAACATTATTGAACGTTTGGTTGTTTTGAGCAGGGCTGAAGTTGTTTAAGAGATTTATACAGAAAAAAGTAGAAAGAAATATCAATCTGTTCTATTTTTATATCAGTTTTTTGTAAATGGACATTTTTGTCCTGAGTGACTTCAGAGGTTAGTAAACATGTTTCAGTGTTCTATTGATTTATTAAAAATGCATTCCAAAATGTGTCAAGAGAGACTTTCTTACAAAATGTGTGCCGTATGCACTAACAGACAAAATGATGACCAGATGAAGAGGAAACATTCGACCAAATGGACATAAATGTCTATAGTGACGCATGAGGGTTAAGTTTTTGTTTACAAATGAGCGTTGATGGTCAGTAATCGTCCTCTCACCTTTGTCCTTGATGAGCGACTCGAGCTCCTCGTACAGTCCGTCGTGCCACCTCGTGATGTCCAGGTGAAGAGAGAAGTCGCAGCACGCCCTCTGCTCCGCCGTCTCCTTCCACTGATCGAACGCCGTCAGTAAGCTAGTTCCCGGCTCCACCAGCACGTGGTCGACTGAAAACCAAAACATGACACTCAATGAACCGATCAAACTCTCTAAAAATCAGACTAATCGTCATCGTGGATGATAATTAGAATCATTTATGGTTACTGTCCAACGATGATTATTGATTATGATCGTACTGATGGTCGTCGTTCCTCCGGACAGAGCCGCTCGGGTTCCGTTGTAGAAGTCGTCAGTGGGGTTCATGCCTTTCTGCGGAGCGAGCAGGCTGGTGTTGGCGTCGACGCCTCCGGGGATGACCAGCTGACCGTAAGCGTCCACCGTCTTCACGCCGGACGGGACGATCAGGTTCTCCCCGATCTGTCTGATCGGGACACGTGACAGGAAGTGCGATGATGTCAGAGACAGAAACTAAAGATCGTGTTCAGGTGAGTAATAACGATGATAATCGACATTCATATATTTACTTGATGATCCCGTCCTCGACATAAACATCAGCGTAGAACGACTGGTCGTCATTGACAACCTTCCCTCCTTTGATGATGAGACGATCGCCCTGGAAACAGACAGAGAGGATTCTGGGTTTAACTCTTTTTAAACAAAGACAACACATCTACACATTTTTTAAATATGACCGAAGAGATCAAACATCTAATGAGCATTTTTGTAATAAGCCACAATTCTTCATGTGTTTCACTTTAAGCCCCGCCCCCAGTGATGATGTCAATCAGGTGAGTGTTTCATTCATTGACAGAATGTAATTTTTCAATTAATATTAGATCAAAAAGAAAAGTACCAAATTTAAGTTATGAAATGTCCTATTGCCACTGAACGCACCATTTAACAAAAAAAAAATGATGTTTTTATTTAAATTAAATTGCTTTTAATTTTTATATTTTATTATATTCATATTTTATTACAGGCATATTTTATTTCTAATTTTTAGATTAGATTTTTATGATATTGATAAATCTCAAAATTATTATAATAATCTTCTCAGCATCACAGCCTCTGTAAAACCAAATCGGGCTGAGCCGAGCCGAGCCGGGCCGAACCAAGCAGGACCGGACTCCTCAGCCTGCAGGAATCAGTCTGACCCGGCCCGGCTCAGCCTTGGTGTGGTTCTCGGTGATTGACAGGCGGAGCTGCAGCATCCCGCCTCACCGGGCCGACACCATCCCTCTGATGATGATCCCCGCTAACCCGGCTCGGCTCAGCCCGGCTCGGCTCGGGCTCGGCTCGGACTGCACCTACCGCGGGTCTCGCGCAGTTCTTCTTGTTCTGAAACGACATCCTGATCGATCTGTGATCGGTTGATTGATCCGCTCACGCCGGCTCTCACACACACACACAGTGCTCTATTGTTGTTCGCGTCACCTCTGACGTCAGGCTGAAGACATTTACTCACCGATGCTTCCGGTGTTAGCCTCCAAAATAAAAGCCTCTGGGCGATCATTATTGTATATAGATTACTTTTTTTCCTCGTTCTGTTAAAACAGATTTTTGTTTAAAAAGAAAAAAGAAGTGATTCAGAGTATGTTACCAAGACTTCACACACACGCTACTAATACCCCATAGTCAGAGTTCTCTGTTATACACAGAATAGTAGTCTAAAGCAGATTTTACTATTTACTCTTTGATTATTTTCTACAATAATCAATTATTGTTTTGTTATCTAAAAAGTGAAAATCGTAAGAAATATTTCGAAATAGTGACACAAAGTAACTCCTTCAAAACACAAAAATTAATAAATCAAATTAATTTAACGAATTAAAGATGACAATAAAAAAACAATAACTCAACAACATCGTTTGATGTCATCATAATTCTTTCACATAAAGAAATCTTGATTACCTCTTTTTTTTATTATTTCTAAAGTTAACATCAATCATGCTTTTAATTTGAAATACACCCCGGAAGTGTTTTACGTTATGGACAGCTGATTGGCTCTCTCTGTTGTCAGGAAACAGACCACGCCCCCCTGAGGAGGAGGTTGGGTGAGGAGGGATAGCTTTTACTCTGAAGCTTCTTCCTGACTCATCGATAAAAATTATTTAATTTTTTCAATTAATTAATTAATTGACTGATGATTTGTTTTAACCAATTTCATTAATTACCATTAATTCATTATATTTACTAAATCAGAAAGAACTTAATATATAGAGAGAGTGTTTGTGTGTAAAGACAGGTAGACGGACACACAGATTGATTGATGATCAAATCAATGATCAAATTAATTCTTGTAATTATTTTCGTCTTCACTCATTAAACAATTTCATCAATAAGTCACAAACTGTCTTTTGGAAACTAAGTTCAGTAAATTTGTTCAACCTCTCTCTTGCCGTAGTTCTCCCGGGCGTGTCCAGAGGAAAACACCATCGTCTGTCCTTCTCCTCGTCCTCCTGCCGCCCCTCCATCGTTGCCGTCGCTCCGCGTCCGAGCGGCTCTGCGTCGCTGAGTTTGCGGACTGAACGATTCAAAGTTCAAAGTTTTATTCTCAAACGCTCCTTCGACGCTGCAGAACATCCCGCCATACTTCATCCGCGGACGAGGAGAGTCGGAGCCGAGCCGAGAGAGGAGCGAGGAGCAGTCATCGTCCTGAGAACTCCTCCTGTCAGACATCATGGACTCTCTGATCTGAGAGCAGACAGGGCGAGGAAGAAGAGGCGGAGGAGAAAGAGGAGGAGAAGGGGAATGAGGAGGAGGAGGGAGTTGACGATGATGAGGAAGAAGAGGAGGAGGAGGAGGAGGGTTGTGTGTAGATCTCGGGGGATTAATGAATGGACTCGCTGGAGGACGAAAAAAGGAGGCCACGGAGGAGGGTAGACTGTGACCTCGAACTGAGACTGAGAAGAGTTGATCAGTGGGAGGAGGAGGAGGAGGAGGAGAGCAGCACAAACAGAAATAGACTCATTGAAGAACATCCAGTCTCTGCTGAGACTGATTGAAGTTCATTCTGCAGTCTATGCCTATAGCAGCATAACTAGGAGCTAGTCTAAGCCTGCACCAGCCCTAACTATAAGCTTTATCAAAAAGGAAAGTTTGAAGTCTATTCTTAAAAGTACAGAGTGGGTCTGCCTCCTAGACCCTGACTGGATGATTCCAAAGAAGAGGGATCTGATAACTGAAGGCTCTACCTCCCGTAGTACATTTAGAGACCGTAGGTACCACGAGCAGGTCTGATAACTGAAGGCTCTACCTCCCGTAGTACATTTAGAGACCGTAGGTACCACGAGCAGGACTGATAACTGAAGGCTCTACCTCCCGTAGTACATTTAGAGACCGTAGGTACCACGAGCAGGACTGATAACTGAAGGCTCTACCTCCCGTAGTACATTTAGAGACCGTAGGTACCACGAGCAGGACTGATAACTGAAGGCTCTACCTCCCGTAGTACATTTAAAGACCGTAGGTACCACGAGCAGGTCTGATAACTGAAGGCTCTACCTCCCGTAGTACATTTAGAGACCGTAGGTACCACGAGCAGGTCTGATAACTGAAGGCTCTACCTCCCGTAGTACATTTAGAGACCGTAGGTACCACGAGCAGGCCTGATAACTGAAGGCTCTACCTCCCGTAGTACATTTAGAGACCGCAGGTACCACGAGCAGGCCTGATAACTGAAGGCTCTACCTCCCGTAGTACATTTAGAGACCGCAGGTACCACGAGCAGGTCTGATAACTGAAGGCTCTACCTCCCGTAGTACATTTAGAGACCGCAGGTACCACGAGCAGGTCCGATAACTGAAGGCTCTACCTCCCGTAGTACATTTAGAGACCGCAGGTACCACGAGCAGGTCCGATAACCGAAGGCTCTACCTCCCTTAGTACATTTAGAGACTGTACCACGAGCAGGTCTGATAACTGAAGGCTCTACCTCCCGTAGTACATTTAGAGACTGTACCACGAGCAGGCCTGATAACTGAAGGCTCTACCTCCCGTAGTACATTTAGAGACTGTAGGTACCACGAGCAGGCCTGCACTCTGGGAGCGTAATGTTCTGAAAGGGTAATACGGCACTACAAGCTCTTTAAGATAGGATGGTGCCTGACCATTCAGAGCTTTCTAAGTCAGAAGATGAATTTTAAATTCTATTGGACATTGTATAGGGAGCCAGTACAGAGAAGCCATTACAGGAGTAATGTGGTTTCCTAGTTCCTAGTTAGCACCATAGACTGTAAATATTAATGGACGAAGCCTGAGTGACGTCATGAACTAGTTTTTCTGCAAGGTTTGCGACAGGAGATGCCTGATTTTAGAGATATTATGAAGGTGAAAATAGGCTGTCTTTGAAACTTGTTTTATACAAGAGTTAAAGGACATATGTTGATCAAATAGAACAGTGGTGCTATTGTGGTTCAGGTCCTAATACAACGCTTCTAGTTTACAGAACTGATTGGTGTCTTCAGGCTTCATTGATACGTATAGCTGAGTATCATCTGCATAACAATGAGTGTTTCTTCATAATATAACCCAGAGGACGCATATTTAGGGTGAAAAGAATCGGTCTGAGCACAGAAATTTGATAAAGAGGAAGATGATGACAAATTATCATGTGACATCCCAGCGAAGAATGTTTCAGGTCACATGAACACAATGAAGTGCACAGCAGGGGTCCACACACACACACACACACACACACACACACACACACACACACACACACACAGGTCAGTGCTCATTACAGCAGCTCTGAAGATGGCGAGGACTGAACTGGATTTCTTTGTCTGTCACATTCAGTTTATGTCATCACACACACACACACACACACACACACACACACACTCTGTCACAGTCAGTGGAGTGTGACAATCTGTAACTTGCTGTCAAAGTGAATACTGCATGTTTTACGGTGACTATCCGACAGTAATAAAACGAGGTACAGACGAGGGCTCAGTTACCTCTCCATCACTGACTTAAAAAAACAAATTAAAAAAACATGTGAAAAGAAGTGAAAGCTGCAGCTGTGGCTGAAATATATTTCTCTTCTTCTTATCTTTCAAACCTCACAGCTTGCTCAGAGTTTGTTTAATACGAGGATCTGTGCTCATAAACTCTGAGTTGATACCCAGCTGTTTGTGAGCGCTCAGTGTGACCTCTGATGTCAGCTTAGTGAAGATATGCGACTTCAGATAACCTGCTTCCTAGTACAGACCTCTGCACTGTGACGGATCTGGGTTGTTGGCGCCCTCTGCAGGTGGTGAGAGGACATGCAACCGACCCGCCCTTCACTCACAACAACAAAAAGAACACAGACACAGCGTCGTCTTCAGACTCATTTCCACCATTTTTAATCTGTAATCGAAGTGTCGACTCTTCAGATGTTCACTGACACAGACTCGCAGCAGATAGAAAAATATCATCTGAATAATAAAATAACAACAGTTTTTAAAACGTCAACGGATTCATCGGGTTTTTCTGAAGCTGCTTCAGTTTTAACACCGACAGGGAAAGAAATCCACACAGACAAAATCAAACACTTTCTCTTTACTCCACATTTACTCTTATCCACTCCAGTGAGGACAATAAAGAGTGCTCATATAATATAATATAATATAATATACTATGATATAATATATGTAAAGGTTTTGTTTTGTTGCTGACGAACCTTCCTGTGAAATCTCTCCTCGTTCTGATCTGCTCCAGTTTAGGTCACGGGATAGTAAAACCAGGTTAAGAAATAAACCAGGTAAAAAAAAAACTGAACCGGGTTTAAAACAGTTTCAGACTTTTTAAAATCAAACTTCATGCTTTGTCTCGACGGTGCCTTTTCTTGTAGCAGCTCTGACCTCTGACCTCCATCACACCTCCTAATGAAGACATCGGCCCTTGGTCACTTTTTGGTCCCCGGGATGATTCAGTTACATCGTGGTTACTAATGGTAACCGTAGGTCCATGAGTACAGCTGGAGCTCTCTACAGCCAATCGGATTTAAGTTAAATTGATCTGAACTTATCCCCGAGCAGACAAGAAGGAGAAAACCAGATTCTGATGTTTCAACCAAACTGTCCCTCCAGCTCAAACGAGTCAGTTTATCCATTTACACCGCTTCAACACTGAAGTCCACCAGCGGAGTCGACTGTGCAAACTCAGCTAACTTAGCTAGCATTGATAAAACACAAGCTAGCCGAGCTGACGCTGTGTGAAGTTAGCACCATTTTAGCCCAGCAGGCCACGACGTGTTTGTCGGCTACATCTCAGGAGCAGCTAAAAGTAGCTAACGGGCTAGTTAGCATGGTACCAAGGTACAGTCTTCGCTTCTCTCAAAGACAACGGTCATCTGTTGTGTTGCCATGGAAACCACTCTCTGGTCTTCATTCTACTTCTGTGACGGTGAACTTCCAGAGTCGGCCGAAGGCAGCCAGAGGTGGGTCATAGGTCAGTCCGCTGCTGGTTTTTTTAACCCTGAAACCTTCTAAGTCCTGTGATCCTTTGGTCTGATCCTGAAGGAGCCGGAGCGCCGGGATTTCAGCCGCTGGACTGTGGAGGCCTGTGGACTCTAGAACACACAACACATCATTAACACCTGTACTGTCAACACCTGTACTGTCAACACCTGTACTGTCAACACCTGTATTTTTAACACCTGTACCTGTCTGTACTTGGGTGAAACCCTGTGTGCCTGGATTTCACTTTGTGTACCCAACAACAACAACAACAACAGGTCTCGGTGTGCACAGAGTTACCTGAATCCTGTTTGACTCACCTGCTGTTGTTAGGACCACAGGATGAATGCCAAAGAGAAAAATAAAAACAGGAACAGAAACTGAAAGACAAAAGATTAAAGCGTCAGGTGGAGGTCATAAAAACCAGTGTAGATGTGTTGCCATGGTAATGGAGTGCAGTGATGACCCGATCAGTCCAGTAGAGTTACCTTCTCCTCCAGCTCTTTAATCTGTCGCTTCTGTGCTTCAATAAACTCCTCCAGGTCCTTGTTCCTCTGTTACACACACACACACACACACACACACACAAACAACACACACAAGCCCATGCAAACACACAATTATAAATTAAACTGAAACAATTAAAGTATATTTGTATGTTTACATGTTTACCTGTTGTTTAAATGTTGTTTACATGTTGTTTACATGTTTACCTGTTGTTTATATGTTTACCTGTTGTTTACCTGTTTACATGTTTACCTGTTGTTTACATGTTGTTTACATGTTTATGTGTTGTTTTCATGTTAACATGTTGTTTACATGTTTAACTGTTGTTTACATGTTTACCTGTTGTTTACATGTTGTTTACATGTTTATGTGTTGTTTTCATGTTAACATGTTGTTTACATGTTTAACTATTGTTTACATGTTTACCTGTTGTTTATATGTTTACCTGTTGTTTACCTGTTTACATGTTTACCTGTTGTTTACATGTTGTTTACATGTTTATGTGTTGTTTTCATGTTAACATGTTGTTTACATGTTTAACTGTTGTTTACATGTTTACCTGTTGTTTACATGTTGTGTACATGTTTATGTGTTGTTTTCATGTTAACATGTTGTTTACATGTTTAACTATTGTTTACATGTTTACCTGTTATTTACATGTTTACCTGTTGCATGAGTTGCAGTAGGTCCATCCTCTCTCGGAGGATCTGGGCGTCTCTCTCTCTCAGCTCAAACATCAACGTTCGTTTCCATTGGTCCATTGCTCTCCTAAGCCCCTCCCTCTCATCCTCCGTCAGCGTTTCCGACAGACGACCCTCCTCCATCTTAAGCCCCTCCTCCTGCTGCAGAGCTTCAAACAGCATGGCCTCCAGCTCCAGGATCCTCTGTGAGAAACGGGTTTTGATGTGATCACAAAAAGCACTTACTATTAATTACTATTATTATTATTATTATTATTAATTATTATTATTATTATTCTTATTAATTATTATTATTATTATTCTTATTATTAATTATTGATTATTTCAAAAACCAAAACCGTGTTTTTTTTCCTTTTTGTTGTCTCCGCTCTCTGACCTTGTGTGCCTGATCCATCGACTGCTTCCTATAGTCCAGCTCCTCGTCCAGGTAACCCTTCTGTTTACTGAAGCGGTCCTGAAACCAAACACAGGTACAACAGGTAAACAAGTCAATAACAGCAACAGGTACACAAGATCCTAAATCCAACACTCAGAGGTCAGGGGTCACTATTAGAGGTTCAGGTGTGACTCTAACAAACACACTGAACAAAGCTGCAGTTTCTTTGTTTCAGTTCTACCTCAAACACTTTATTATCACTGATCTTTAAAAACATCCTAATCAAATAAACTCATAAAACACAAAACCATGAAACATAAGAGGAGGATGTTTCTGAGACTGTCATCCATCACTGCAGTGTTTTTGTTTTACCTTCTCACTCTCGATGTCCAACATCTTCTGCTGCAGAGCCGATTTGGTCACCTCGATGGACTCCAACCACTGAGCACACAGACAGGTCCAGATGGACAGACAGGAAGAGACAGACAGAGAGGTGCAGAGAGTCAGGGGGCGTGGACAGAGCGGGGGGGACCCAGATTGTGATCAACTGCTAGGTGAGTATGTGGAGAAACGAAAGGCTACAGGAAGTGGTTTCAGCAGGAGCCGGCTGCTGCTGACTGGGTGGTAGGGGGTGATGGGTGTACTTGGAGGACAGGGTCATCGTCAGGGTGTGGGTGGGGACAGCAGTCTGGGCATCAGGGAGGTCTAGAGGAAGCTGTGGCTCTGAGCAGGTGTAATCAGGTTTATGTTCAGGAGTGTGTGCAGATGTGTTCAGGTGTGTCTGTTACCTTCTCTGCCAGAGTGAGCACAGTTCTGGCATGAATCACCACCACCTGCTCCTCATTGGACAGATTCTGCAGAAAACACGACAGCAGGTCAACGACATTTCAACAACAACAACAACAATACATCAACAACATGTGAACAATATGTCAACAACAACAGGTCGACAACACATCAACCGATAGCCAACAACAAGTCAACATGACGACGACACTTCAACAACATTTCAACAAAATGATGTAAACAACATGTCAATAACAACAACAACACGTCAACAACATGTCAACAACATGCACAGCATTATTTAAACTTTATTTGAAACACAAACATGTACAAAAGAAATTGAACATACACTTACGGCGTTATCTCCCAGAATGTCGAGCTTCTTCATCAGCTCACTGATCACAATCTCCTGAGGAACAAACGTCACCGAACATCAACAGGAAGTCATGTCATCAATCAGACAGGTGTGCTCAGGTGAGTCTACAGGTGAGGCTACAGGTGTTTCACTCAGGTGAGTCTCAGATGTGCTCAGGTGAGTCTACAGGTTTGTCTACAGGTGTGCTCAGGTGAGTCTACAGGTGTGCTCAGGTGAGTCTACAGGTCTGTTACTCAGGTGAATCTACAGGGGGGTCTACAGGTGAGTCTACAGGTTGGTCTACAGGTGAGCCTACAGGTGAGTCTACAGGTGGGTCTACAGGTTGGTCTACAGGTGAGCCTACAGGTGAGTCTACAGGTGAGTCTACAGGTTGGTCTACAGGTGAGTCTACAGGTGAGTCTACAGGTGAGTCTACAGGTGGGTCTACAGGTGTGCTCAGGTGAGTCTACAGGTCTGTCACTCAGGTGGGTCTACAGGGGGGTCTACAGGTGGGTCTAAAGGTGAGTCTACAGGTGGGTCTACAGGTCTGTTACTCAGGTGAGTCTACAGGTCTCTAACTCAGGTGGGTCTACAGGTGTGATCAGGTCAGTCTACAGGTGTTTAACTCAGGTTAGTCTACAGGTCTCTAGATCAGGTGAGTCTACAGGTCTCTAACTCAGGTGAGTCTACAGGACTGTAACTCAAGTGGGTCTACAGGTGTGCACAGGTGAGTCTACAGGTGTGCACAGGTGAGTCTACAGGTGTGCTCAGGTGAGTCTACAGGTCTGTTACTCAGGTGTGTCAACAGGTCTCTAACTCAGGTGAGTCTACAGGTCTCTAACTCAGGTGAGTCTACAAGTCTCTAACTCAGGTGAGGCTACAAGTGTGCTCAGGTGAATCTACAGGTGTTTCACTCAGGTGAGTCTACAGGTCTCTAACTCAGGTGAGTCTAGAGGTGTTTCACTCAGGTGAGTCTACAGGGCTCTAACTCAGGTGAGTCTAGAGGTGTGCTCAGGTGAATCTCATGTGTTTCAGTCAGGTGTGCTGTTACTCACAGTGACTCCCTCGGCCTCGCAGTAGATCTGCAGAGGACTGAGGCCTTCTGGGAAAAGGTAATGATTGAAGCTAATGGCAGGTGAGCGTCTCTCCCTCTCCTACAATGGTTACCATGGAAACAGAGAGAAAGTCAGTGTTACTGTTTTGTCTTATGACCGTTGCTGTTGTTATTTGTTTTATTTGTTATTTTTTTTACCTCAAGCTCTAAAATACGAAACTCCAGCAGCTCGTTCTGATCTCTGACATCCTGAATGTCATTTTTCAGACGCAGGTCTTCACCTTCCATCTGACGCACCTGAGCCGTGACACAGGTACACAGGTCAAAGGTTAACATGTACACAGAGTCAGAGTCATAGTGATAGTGTCGTTGTAGATGTTTATATAATCTTTATTTAAAACACCTTCTCCACCAGCTCCTGATTCCTCTGATACAGCGCCTGCTTCTCCTCCACCCACTTCACATCCTGAGAGACAGACAGGTAGAGAGAGGTGGAGACAGACAGGTAGAGAGAGAGAGGTGGAGACAGACAGGTAGAGAGAGAGAGGTGGAGACAGGCAGGTAGAGAGAGAGAGGTGGAGACAGACAGGTAGAGAGAGAGAGGTGGAGACAGGCAGAGATGGAAAGAGAGATACACCTGATCAGCTGGGATTGTGATGTCACAGATAAGTCTACGGTCTGATTGGAGGAGCAGCTCATGTAAACAAACAGTGTCATAAAATCATGACTGATGATGTCATAGTTTTAGTATCAGCTCTAAAATGTTAGCGTTTTAACCATGGACACAGATAATTGAAGAAATGCTGCACATGTGTATATAGCTACTGTGGTAACATAATTATGTGTGTGTGTGTGTGTGTGTGTGTGTGTGTGTGTGTGTGTGTGTGTGTGTGTGTGATGTTACCAGTCCTTGTTGTTTCAGAGCTGACTCCAAATCTACAACTCTGCACTCATATCGACTGATTTCACTCAGCAGCTGCTCTCTGGTCTGAAACACAGAATACAACCATCAACCTGCTGCCTCGTCCTGTACACAGAACACAACCATCAACTCGCTGCCTTGCTCAGAGGCGGGCTCACTTTGATCTCCTTCTCGGGGTCGTAGTTCCCTCCGCTCGTCTCCGTCAGCAGGGCGTACGCTCGCTGCAGTGCCTGATACTCCTGAGTCAACTGGCGGTAACGGAGCTCCCCGTCCTCACGCACACACACCTGAGACACACAAACAAGTCAGACCAGTAAAGGCGCGCATACACTGTACGACTGTATGAAAATCATGGTGGAATGTCAACACAATCTAAAGGAGGGTGAAGAGACATCAAACAGGCAGGCAGCTGTTGCCATGGTTATTTCAGATGCTCGTGGCTCTGCTCTCACTGACAGAGTGTGTGCAGACGTACAACCAAAGCACAGCGTTAGCTTCCAACATAAATATACATTTTTACAATAATGACACAGTCTAAACACTGGAGAAGTGAACTGTGTATTCTTTATATACATTATAACCTATTTGTGTGGATCGCGTTTGTGTGTGTGTGTGTGTGTGTGTGTGTGTACCTCCTCCGGTTCAGTATCTGGAGTTCTGTCCGTGTGAAATGAAAGAGACGATCCATCAGAGTCCATCGAGGCTTCCTCATCATAACCATAGAACGTCTCAATAACCTACAAACACACACACACACACACACACACACACACACACACACACACACACACACACACACACACATAAACACTCATCAAATCACAAACACTAGTATTTCATATCATATTGTGTATAGTAGTAAAAGCAGCTGTTGTTCTCACCCTGCAGGCTCTGATGGTTCGTTTCCTCCTCACAGAGTCCTGCCGTCTGTATCTCAACAACATGTCTCTCTCCTGAGCAACACAGCAACACAGTAAACATCAGATTCCTAATATTTACAGAACTATATTCATCAGACAGTTCTAAAACTTTACGATTCTACTTTATCTTCAGGTGGATTCATGTTACATGCTCTGGTAGCTGTGTGTCTGTTAGCTGTGTGTCTGTTAGCTGTGTGTCTGTTAGCTGTGTGTCTGTTAGCTGTGTGTCTGTTAGCTGTGACTCTGTTAGCTGTGTCTCTGTTAGCTGTGTCTCTGTTAGCTGTGACTCTGTTAGCTGTGTGTCTGTTAGCTGTGACTCTGTTAGCTGTGTCTCTGTTAGCTGTGTGTCTGTTAGCTGTGTGTCTGTTAGCTGTGTCTCTGTTAGCTGTGTCTCTGTTAGCTGTGTGTCTGTTAGCTGTGTCTCTGTTAGCTGTGTCTCTGTTAGCTGTGTCTCTGTTAGCTGTGTCTCTGTTAGCTGTGTCTCTGTTAGCTGTGTGTCTGTTAGCTGTGTCTCTGTTAGCTGTGTCTCTGTTAGCGTGTCTCTGTTAGCTGTGTCTCTGTTAGCGGTGTCTCTGTTAGCTGTGTCTCTGTTAGCTGTGTCTCTGTTAGCTGTGTGTCTGTTAGCTGTGTCTGTTAGCTGTGTGTCTGTTAGCTGTGACTCTGTTAGCTGTGTCTCTGTTAGCTGTGTGTCTGTTAGCTGTGACTCTGTTAGCTGTGTGTCTGTTAGCTGTGACTCTGTTAGCTGTGTCTCTGTTAGCTGTGTCTCTGTTAGCTGTGACTCTGTTAGCTGTGACTCTGTTAGCTGTGTCTCTGTTAGCTGTGTCTCTGTTAGCTGTGTCTCTGTTAGCTGTGTCTCTGTTAGCTGTGTGTCTGTTAGCTGTGTCTGTTAGCTGTGTGTCTGTTAGCTGTGACTCTGTTAGCTGTGTCTCTGTTAGCTGTGTCTCTGTTAGCTGTGTGTCTGTTAGCTGTGTCTCTGTTAGCTGTGTCTCTGTTAGCTGTGTCTCTGTTAGCTGTGTGTCTGTTAGCTGTGTCTCTGTTAGCTGTGTCTCTGTTAGCTGTGTCTCTGTTAGCTGTGTCTCTGTTAGCTGTGTGTCTGTTAGCTGTGTCTCTGTTAGCTGTGTGTCTGTTAGCTGTGTGTCTGTTAGCTGTGTCTCTGTTAGCTGTGTCTCTGTTAGCTGTGTCTCTGTTAGCTGTGTCTCTGTTAGCTGTGTGTCTGTTAGCTGTGTCTCTGTTAGCTGTGTCTCTGTTAGCTGTGTGTCTGTTAGCTGTGTGTCTGTTAGCTGTGTGTCTGTTAGCTGTGTCTCTGTTAGCTGTGTGACTCTGTTAGCTGTGTCTCTGTTAGCTGTGACTCTGTTAGCTGTGTGTCTGTTAGCTGTGTGACTCTGTTAGCTGTGTGTCTGTTAGCTGTGTGTCTGTTAGCTGTGTGACTCTGTTAGCTGTGTGTCTGTTAGCTGTGTGACTCTGTTAGCTGTGTCTCTGTTAGCTGTGTGTCTGTTAGCTGTGTCTCTGTTAGCTGTGTGACTCTGTTAGCTGTGTGTCTGTTAGCTGTGTCTCTGTTAGCTGTGTCTCTGTTAGCTGTGTGAATCTGTTAGCTGTGTCTCTGTTAGCTGTTTGTCTGTGAGCTGTGTCTCTGTTAGCTGTGTCTCTGTTAGCTGTGTGTCTGTTAGCTGTGTGTCTGTTAGCTGTGTGTCTGTTAGCTGTGTGTCTGTTAGCTGTGACTCTGTTAGCTGTGTGTCTGTTAGCTGTGACTCTGTTAGCTGTGTCTCTGTTAGCTGTGTCTCTGTTAGCTGTGACTCTGTTAGCTGTGTGTCTGTTAGCTGTGTCTCTGTTAGCTGTGTGTCTGTTAGCTGTGTCTCTGTTAGCTGTGTCTGTTAGCTGTGTGTCTGTTAGCTGTGTCTCTGTTAGCTGTGTCTGTTAGCTGTGTGACTCTGTTAGCTGTGTGTTTGTTAGCTGTGTGTCTGTTAGCTGTGTGTCTGTTAGCTGTGTGTCTGTTAGCTGTGTCTCTGTTAGCTGTGTGACTGTTAGCTGTGTGACTCTGTTAGCTGTGTGTCTGTTAGCTGTGTCTCTGTTAGCTGTGTCTCTGTTAGCTGTGACTCTGTTAGCTGTGTCTCTGTTAGCTGTGTCTCTGTTAGCTGTGTCTCTGTTAGCTGTGTGTCTGTTAGCTGTGTGTCTGTTAGCTGTGTCTCTGTTAGCTGTGTCTGTTAGCTGTGTGACTCTGTTAGCTGTGTGTTTGTTAGCTGTGTGACTGTTAGCTGTGTGACTCTGTTAGCTGTGTCTCTGTTAGCTGTGTGTCTGTTAGCTGTGACTCTGTTAGCTGTGACTCTGTTAGCTGTGTGTCTGTTAGCTGTGTGACTGTTAGCTGTGTGACTCTGTTAGCTGTGTCTCTGTTAGCTGTGTGACTGTTAGCTGTGTGTCTCTGTTAGCTGTGTGTCTGTTAGCTGTGTCTCTGTTAGCTGTGTCTCTGTTAGCTGTGTCTCTGTTAGCTGTGTCTCTGTTAGCTGTGTCTCTGTTAGCTGTGTCTCTGTTAGCTGTGTGTCTGTTAGCTGTGTCTCTGTTAGCTGTGACTCTGTTAGCTGTGTCTCTGTTAGCTGTGTCTCTGTTAGCTGTGTGTCTGTTAGCTGTGTCTCTGTTAGCTGTGTCTGTTAGCTGTGTGTCTGTTAGCTGTGACTCTGTTAGCTGTGTCTCTGTTAGCTGTGACTCTGTTAGCTCTGTGTCTGTTAGCTGTGTGTCTGTTAGCTGTGTGTCTGTTAGCTGTGTCTCTGTTAGCTGTGTCTCTGTTAGCTGTGTCTCTGTTAGCTGTGTCTCTGTTAGCTGTGTCTCTGTTAGCTGTGTCTCTGTTAGCTGTGTGTCTGTTAGCTGTGTGTCTGTTAGCTGTGTGTCTGTTAGCTGTGACTCTGTTAGCTGTGTCTCTGTTAGCTGTGTCTCTGTTAGCTGTGTGTCTGTTAGCTGTGTGTCTGTTAGCTGTTGTCTGTTAGCTGTGTGTCTGTTAGCTGTGACTCTGTTAGCTGTGTCTCTGTTAGCTGTGACTCTGTTAGCTGTGTCTCTGTTAGCTGTGTGTCTGTTAGCTGTGACTCTGTTAGCTGTGTCTCTGTTAGCTGTGTCTCTGTTAGCTGTGTGTCTGTTAGCTGTGTGTCTGTTAGCTGTTTGTCTGTGAGCTGTGTGTCTGTTAGCTGTGACTCTGTTAGCTGTGTCTCTGTTAGCTGTGACTCTGTTAGCTGTGTCTCTGTTAGCTGTGTGTCTGTTAGCTGTGTCTCTGTTAGCTGTGTCTCTGTTAGCTGTGTCTCTGTTAGCTGTGTGTCTGTTAGCTGTGTCTCTGTTAGCTGTGTCTCTGTTAGCTGTTTGTCTGTTAGCTGTGTGTCTGTTAGCTGTGACTCTGTTAGCTGTGTGTCTGTTAGCTGTGACTCTGTTAGCTGTGTCTCTGTTAGCTGTGTGTCTGTTAGCTGTGTGTCTGTTAGCTGTGTCTCTGTTAGCTGTGTGTCTGTTAGCTGTGTGTCTGTTAGCTGTGTGTCTGTTAGCTGTGTCTCTGTTAGCTGTGTGTCTGTTAGCTGTGTCTCTGTTAGCTGTGTCTCTGTTAGCTGTGTGTCTGTTAGCTGTGTGTCTGTTAGCTGTGTCTCTGTTAGCTGTGTGTCTGTTAGCTGTGTGTCTGTTAGCTGTGTCTGTTAGCTGTGTGTCTGTTAGCTGTGACTCTGTTAGCTGTGTGTCTGTTAGCTGTGTGTCTGTTAGCTGTGTCTCTGTTAGCTGTGTGTCTGTTAGCTGTGTGTCTGTTAGCTGTGTCTCTGTTAGCTGTGTCTCTGTTAGCTGTGTCTCTGTTAGCTGTGTCTCTGTTAGCTGTGTGTCTGTTAGCTGTGTGTCTGTTAGCTGTGTCTCTGTTAGCTGTGTCTCTGTTAGCTGTGTCTCTGTTAGCTGTGTCTCTGTTAGCTGTGTCTGTTAGCTGTGTGTCTGTTAGCTGTGACTCTGTTAGCTGTGTCTCTGTTAGCTGTGTCTATGTTAGCTGTGTGTCTGTTAGCTGTGTCTCTGTTAGCTGTGTCTCTGTTAGCTGTGTCTCTGTTAGCTGTGTCTCTGTTAGCTGTGTGTCTGTTAGCTGTGTCTCTGTTAGCTGTGTGTCTGTTAGCTGTGACTCTGTTAGCTGTGTCTCTGTTAGCTGTGTGTCTGTTAGCTGTGTCTCTGTTAGCTGTGTGTCTGTTAGCTGTGTGTCTGTTAGCTGTGTGTCTGTTAGCTGTGTCTCTGTTAGCTGTGTCTCTGTTAGCGGTGTCTCTGTTAGCTGTGTCTCTGTTAGCGGTGTCTCTGTTAGCTGTGTCTCTGTTAGCTGTGTCTCTGTTAGCTGTGTGTCTGTTAGCTGTGTCTGTTAGCTGTGTGTCTGTTAGCTGTGACTCTGTTAGCTGTGTCTCTGTTAGCTGTGTGTCTGTTAGCTGTGTCTCTGTTAGCTGTGTGTCTGTTAGCTGTGACTCTGTTAGCTGTGTCTCTGTTAGCTGTGTCTCTGTTAGCTGTGACTCTGTTAGCTGTGACTCTGTTAGCTGTGTGTCTGTTAGCTGTGTCTCTGTTAGCTGTGTCTCTGTTAGCTGTGTCTCTGTTAGCTGTGTGTCTGTTAGCTGTGTCTGTTAGCTGTGTGTCTGTTAGCTGTGACTCTGTTAGCTGTGTCTCTGTTAGCTGTTTGTCTGTTAGCTGTGTCTCTGTTAGCTGTGTCTCTGTTAGCTGTGTCTCTGTTAGCTGTTGTCTGTTAGCTGTGTCTCTGTTAGCTGTGTCTCTGTTAGCTGTGTCTCTGTTAGCTGTGTGTCTGTTAGCTGTGTGTCTGTTAGCTGTGTCTCTGTTAGCTGTGTCTCTGTTAGCTGTGACTCTGTTAGCTGTGTCTCTGTTAGCTGTGTGTCTGTTAGCTGTGTCTCTGTTAGCTGTGTGTCTGTTAGCTGTGTGTCTGTTAGCTGTGTGTCTGTTAGCTGTGTCTCTGTTAGCTGTGTGTCTGTTAGCTGTGTCTCTGTTAGCTGTGTCTCTGTTAGCTGTGTCTCTGTTAGCTGTTAGCTGTGTCTCTGTTAGCTGTG